CCCCCCCCCCCCCCAACTATACATGTTAGCTACGGCCCTGATGACAGCATAGTGTCATAGTCACATGCTTGCAGACAAACTTCTACAGGAGCTCCAGGGGCATGCACCCACAGAAAATTATGTAATCTAGACTATCTAAAAGGGCAATGTGGGGACATTCTATAGAATTCTGAAGATTATACACTAATTACAAAAAGTTAAGTGCCATTTACTCTGTCTTCCAAGCTCATGAGGAGATCTTTGGTGGGAGACTTTGTTCATCTGATTAAAGTGCCTATATCATGGTTTTGGAGTTTGCATATCTCGAAAGTTTAGGGTATTTTAAGACACTTAAGGCAATATATTTTGTTATTGAAAAATTTGATCTTGATGGATTTATTAGCTCTTAAAGTTACCGGACATGACGTCAAAAGGAGAATTGCAAATCAGTTTTCCTTTGTATCATTGCAACAAAATTCTCCTTTTGACGTCATGTCCGGTAACTTTAGGAGCTAATAAATCCATCAAGATGAAATTTTTCAATAATAAAATATATTGCCTTAAGTGTCTTAAAATACCCTTAACTTTCGAGATATGCAAACCAAAATTCGAGATATGCAAACTTTAACATTAGTGCGGACGTTCGATAATTTGCCAGTTATCATTTCAATTTCATTCAAATGACTCTCATTCATCAAATGTTTTGTTTAATACCGTTTAATACAAGACGAATTTTTAGATCAGTTTTTCTGCTCATTGCCTCATTTTCTTGTTTAATTTATTAATTAATAATTAATTAATTTACAAATTACAACTTATCACAGCAAATTTTATCACTGCGCATTTTACATTTTATCACTTCACATTTTACTTTTCTCACTGCACAAATTGGTTATCACTGTACACTAAAATTAGGTATGTGTGGCGGTGACTTGGTCTTCTGATCTTGATACAGACACATTTTCATCGCTCCGACTTGCGGTGGACGCTTCGTTCGTTTTCAAAAGTTTTGATTTTACAATGAACTGATTTCCACTAAATTTACGCTCCTTTGAACGACTAGAACATTGCTTAGGCATTTTCAAATAAAATTATAGAAACTTTAAAATACAAGATGGCGTTCTAAGAAAGACCATTGAATCACAGGCGGCCCAATCTCGCAAAGGTCAGTATAGACTTATAGTAATGTATATTATAGTAAAAATATGTCATTAAAAAATATAAATTTTAAAATGAAATTGACTTGCCTATTTGATAGTGTGTGTTCTCCTTTTATTCCTCTTTTGTTGGACTAATAATTTTCCGAGACTTTGTAGTCAATGGTACTAGTATACATACTACATTATAAAGGCAAACTATTTACAATCGTCGATCCGTCTGCACGGCACTTCGAATCGAAAATTTCCACACTCAAATCGCTTTATTCTCCAAAAAAAATCGCCAGCATGTAGAACAGATGCCGTTCTTCGAAAATATGGAGATACTTCAGCGAGATGTGCAAGTTTTGGACCATATTTTAACAATGGAAATCAAAACCTATTTTATACTGAACTTACAAAGACCGACGATTACTACAACCTCGTTCCCAGGGTCTTTCTTAGAACGGCGCGAGGCGAAGGAAAGACCCTGGTTTCGGCTGGTCACGTGTCACCCAGATTCTGGGTGATAAATTAAAATGATACTATGGGCAGGGTGGGAGAGGAGTGTGTTTGTCGCGTTTGTAACAATATTTGCAAGTTTGTGTGATGAAATTTAAATTTGCAACAAGAAATCGTGAAGAGAACTGCAATTAAAAATTAGAAAATTAAACGAGACTTACCTGTAAGGTGAAGTTTGATTGAGATTCTACGAGTTATTGGTTAGGAGCGAAGGAGTCACGTGTGAGATAGCGCGGAAAGGATCGAGCGGCAGTCTTTAAAGGGAGTGCGAATGGTCATTGATATTTAGTACCCGCTGTAAAGCCGTAGGGCTGGGTAAAACCGTAGGGTGGGTCCGTGACTCCTTCGCTCCTAACCAATAACTCGTAGAATCTCAATCAAACTTCACCTTACAGGTAAGTCTCGTTTAATTTTCTAATTCTACTTCGTCATTGGTTAGTTCGCTACGGAGTCACGTGTGAGACTTTAAAGTAATAACCATGAGCACTGTAACTTTGCTTTAATAACACAATATCAACACGATACATGCTTAATCAAGGTTAACAATTTCTAAGAGTCTATGACCAAAATTTTCTTTTTGATCACTTTCAATTGGTTTATGATGAAACTGGTTTATGTGGTTTCTGGTAACTCAAAAGTAGTTGTTTATATGAAAGGACCACATGTCATCACTATTACCCATCTGTTCAATGTTCAAGACCTGTATGGTCTGGCAACGCTGTCCAGTAACAAGGGCAAGCAGCATGGTTGTCTTCATAGTCAGGTCTTGTAGAGAGAGTTGTGTATTTTCACCCAAAGATTTGAGATATTTTATAACCACAGACACATCCCAGATCTGTTTATAACGTGGTAGTGCTGGTCTATTTACAAATACTCCTTGCATATATCTGGTTACCAGTGGATGGTTTCCAAATGTGAAATTGTCTATTGGTTGGACAACGCTGGATAGAGCTGAGCGTACCGTGTTTAATGTGCTATAGGATAATCCTTCCTTATAAAATTCATGTAGAAAATCAATTGCAGTCCCTACATTTGGAGAAATGGGATTGATACTTCGTTCACAACAGTGCTGTTCCCACTTTTGTAAATAGTATTTGTACTGTTTTTGAGTCCCCGGTCTCCATGCTTGTACGATGATTGAAGCAGCTTCTTTTGAAATTCCTTGACTTTCAAGTAATCCCCCGATAAGTGGCACATCAGTAATCGCAACTTCTTTTGTAGAGGATGTATCTTCTGAGGATGGGATGGTAACATCAGTGTTGTTGTGTGCTAGGCAACATAAGGGGACAATTTATTAACGTATTGGTTAGATATGGCCACCAGGACTGGGTCGGCCAGTGTGGAATTACTATTATGCCTGTTGCCTTCTCTTCTGATATTTTTTGTAATACTTGGTTGATAATGCAAAAAGGTGGGAATGCATAAAAACACATGTTTACCCAAGAGATATGAAAGGCATTTATGGCTTGAGCCTCAGGGTCAGGTCTGAATGCAACATAAAGGCTTGAATTTATAGTTTAGCCTTGAGGCAAACAGATCAATACTGGGTGTCACATCCAGTAATTGGATTGCTTGATCATACACTGCTCGGTCTAGGGCCCACTCAGTGTCATTGGTACCCCCTCCTCGATTCAAAATCTGCAATGACATTTTGTTTTCCTGGGATATGTGCTACAGTAATCCAATTGTTATTCGTAATGCAAAAATCCCATATCTCTTTTACTAAGAGATTTTTCTCCTTGGAGTGACTAGTCCCCATATGATTTATACAGCAGACTGCTGTTGTGTTGTCCGATAGGATTTTTACATGCTTCTGACAAATATGATCTACAAATGATTTTAGACTGAGTAATATGGCTTTAACTTCCAGCCAGTTAATGTGTTTCTCCGATTCTCCAGAGTCCCATGAGCCACCTGTAGGTGTGCCAGATAGGGAGCAACCCCAACCCGTTTTTGAGGCATCTGTGGTCATGGTTGTGTCAGCTTGTCCGTGACTAACCACATTGTATGCACTTTCAATTGAGCTTACCCACCAGCTCAGCTCGTGCTTAGCCTCATCTGAAAGAGTCATGGTCTTATTAGAATTGCCTTTTCTTATTTTCAGGGCCACAGTTTTATCCATATCTAAGTGCCTATAATGTAATGGCCCAAACATTACTCCTGGGAAGCTAGCTGTTAACATGCCAATGACTCTAGCCACTTCCCGTATTGTAGGTTGAGGAGATTGTAGAAGCTTTTGACAAGCTTCCTTAATTTTTTGTGTTTTTTCTTCTGTAAGGCTGATGATCATTTTTATGGAGTCTAACAGAAAACCTAGGAATACAAGTTTCTGAGTAGGGTATAGGATTGATTTCTCAGGGTGTATAACAAGGCCCACTTGGTCAAGTAATGTAATAGTATCTTTCACATTTTTAACACACAGATTAAAGTTGGCACCTTGTAAATAAGAGTCATCTATGAATATTACAGATAGATGACCTATGCTTCTCAAGTTTGAGAAGACAGGTTTAAGGAGTTTTGTGAACTTCCTAGGGCAAATTGCCAATCCATTTTGGAAAACATGTATACTGATATAGTTTCCCTCGCCATTGAAATTTCGGGTGTTTTTGATGGTCTTTGTGAATCGGGACAGAGCAGTATGCGTCCTTAAGATCAATGGATGCCATAAAGCATCCCAGACGCATCATACGTATAGCAGTCCAGATTGTGTCCATTTTAAAATGTTGGTACGTAACAGATTGGTTTAAACATTTTAGGTTTAAAATCATGCGATGTGATCCATCCTTCTTAGGTCGAAGGAATATGGGTGAAATGTATTCATTAGGCTCATGTGTAGATTCTACAATGACACCTTTTTTCAACAAGTTTTGGATTTCAGAATCAATAAACTGTCCTTGTTGACATGAGTAATTTGGCTATACAGGTAAATTTAATTATACTGGGTTCTGGTTAAACTCTATGCGTTGACCAGACACTGTCTCCAGAATTTCTGGATCAGATGTCAATTCTTTCCAAGCAAAATAAGAAGTACTAAGCTGGCCCGCCTTAAAATTGGCAACCTTGTGTTCAAAGTGTTTAATAAGCGATGGCACGAGAGACTCGTATTCGCTTACCTGTATTTGTGAAAGTTTTTTAATTGCTTCTGAGTCTATTTC